CATTACCTTCTTCAGTTATACCAAACAATTTTACTCAAAGACGATAAGAAGCTTTTGACAAATCTTATAAGTAAGAACCAAATAATTTTAACAAAGGAGGACCTTGAAAATGTTATCTCACGAATAACAGGGAAACAATGTGTCATTGACTATCTCGACCCTGAATCGAATGCTGTGGTCAAACGCCACCATTCATGAAAATAGGTAACATCCGCATCATTGAAACACCAGGAACTACAGGAGTTGAGTTTAAGTATAAATATTCGAACGAGTATACAAAACTTTCAACAGAATATAAACTTTGCTTGAAATATGTTTTAGTAAATTAAAGCAATTTGTAATATCTGTCCAAAACTTCTTCAACAGTATCGAACTCATCTTCATAATGCAAACCTAATCCTCTCTCAAAGGCAAACCAAAAAAGAGACCATATAGAGATGAAAGCACACTGACAAATGACCAGAAAGCCATTTTGGAAGCTCTTAAGCAAACAGGAAACCCAGCACTTATAGAAAGCTTTTGGAAAGATAATGGTGAAAAGAAGTTTTATAAGAAGAGAAGCGGTCAGTTCTGGAAGTATCTTTGCACATTACCTATAAATCTTGAACGCTACCAAATCTTCAATGAACTGAACAAAAGAACTGCAACACTTATGACAGAGGACAATTGTTTCGTTTATGCTTGCATTCAGGCTGGAGTAAATGAAGAAACTATTGACCACATGAGAGAAGTCATTCGTGTTAGAGACTTTCCTCAAAGTAAAGTACAAGAAATTTCTGACGCAACAGGTATAGCATTTAATGTTACCATTGGTTATTTCAATGACTCAAGACATAATGAAATAAAGAGATATATACCAAAAGAATGCGAAACTGTTAGAACTATTGACTTACTTCTTGTTGAAGACCACTACATGCTAAATGAAAGATTACCAATGACAACATACTTCATTCGAAACTATAAAGAAATTCTCAAAGCTTGTGGTGGAATGAACATTGAGAAACAGATGAAGATTTATACAAAGAGAGAAGATAAATATGTAGTTCGTTATGATAGAACAACACCGTTATGGGATGTTATGAAAACATTGTGGGAGTGCAAATATTTCGAACCTATTTCTTATGGAGAACTTTTCACATATACTACTGACTTATATAAACAGAACCTTGCACCATTTAAAGATTTGACATATGCTCCAAAGTATTGTGTACAACTGAAGAAGAAAGCAGAGTCAAAAGAAGTAAATAAAGCTAAATGTAAATTCATACCTGAGCACGTTTTCTTTGCTGACTTTGAGTGTAGTACGGATGGCTTTCATAAAGCTTTTAACATCTGTTATGACAGTGAAGATGGTTCAGTTAGTGAAAGCATTTGGGGTCAAAACTGTGCAACAGAATTTTTGGAAAGACTTCCTGACAAGAGTTTAATATATTTTCACAACCTCAGTTATGACATAAACTTCATCTTAAGACACATGACAGAAGTGAAAGGAACTCCCATCATTAAAGGTTCACGAACAATGCAAATAACTGGCTTATATAAAGGACGGGCAATTATTATAAAAGACTCTTACAGTGTTATAAATAAGAAGCTTAAACTATTTCCTGCTATGTTTAACTTACAAACAGGACCGAAAGAAGTATTTCCATATAACTACTACAGCAGTGTTTTGTTAGCAAATGACAACAGAACTGGTGTCATTTCTGAAGCATGTAAGTTTTAAGATATTGATACATTCATGAAAACATAGATTCCATCAAAGGTTGCAGAATAGATGAAAACCATTCGACTTAGAAAAATATAGCATTTTATTGCAAACAAGATGTAAGAATTTTAAGAGAAGGTTTTGTTAAGTTCCGCAATGACTTATTGAAAGATTTGATTTAAACGTTTATGACTACGTTAGTATTTGTTCAATTGCTAACAAATTGTTTGAGAACAGAGTGTACTTCCCGAATGGAAATTTATATGACCTCTCAAATAAACCAAGAGAATTTATTTCGAGCTGTATTCAAGGTGGAAGATGTATGTTGTCAGATAACATTAAACAAAAGAGCGAAAGAAACTCATTGCTGACTTCGACGCTGTTTCATTATATCCATCCGCTATAGCAAGACTTTATACTTTAGAAGGTATTCCAAAGGTTATGAAGAAAGAAATGTTAAGCACAGAGTATCTCATGAAACATTTATTCGATGACGACCAAAAGGAACCCATTGGTGAAAAGTTTATGTCTGGCTTCTTTGTTCTCATTAAGATAACAGAGATTGGCATACATAGACACTTTCCTTTAATAGTTTGTGACCCTGAACTAAATCCAGAACTTAACGTTCCAAGAAGTTCAAACACTTGCTGTCTCATGTATGTTGACCATATAACATTACAAGACCTCATAAAATATCAAGGTGTCAAATGTGAAGTGTTGCAAGGATACTATTACGATGGAAACAGAGATATTAGAATAAGAGATGAAGTAAAGAAGTTGTTTGAGTTAAGGTTAAAGTATAAGAAAGAAGGAAATCCTTTGCAAGAAAATATAAAACTCATTCTGAACAGTATTTATGGCAAAACTATTCTATCTCCTATTGAGTCAAAAATAACCATAGTAATGACAAAGATGCTATAAGATATGCATCAGAAACTACAACCATATAGTGAAGTTCGAAGGTTTGGATGGTTCAGATAAAACTATTTTCAAGCTAACGAAAAGCATTTGCAGACACTTTAACTTCTGTCCACTTGGTGTTAACATTCTGTCTATGTCGAAGAGAATAATGTGTGAAGTATTCTGTACTGCAGAGGACATGGGACTTCAAATATTTTACCAGGACTGTGATAGCATGCATATTTTCAATGAAGACATACCAAAGCTTGCAGCAGAGTTTAAGAAGAGATACGGTAGAGAACTTATAGGAAAGAACCTTGGTCATTTCATTCTGACTTCGCAGAAATAACACCTGGAAAACAAAGTTTAGCATACAAGTCAATATTTTGTGGAAAGAAGACCTACATAGACTTACTCACGAATGATTTAAATGAAGTTGCATTCCATGCAGTTGAAAGGTGAAACAAGATGTTATTGCTTTAACGCTAATGAAATGTTTCCTGAAGCTATACAATGCTATTACAATGAAGATAAGAACATTCACATACCTGTTGGAACATATGACAAAGACTCTGAGTTCAGTTTAATGAAACTTTACAAAGCACTTCATGATGGTCAAGAGATTGGATTTGACTTATGTAAGTCATGTCAACCTTGCTTTGCTGAAAAGTTTAACTTCTCAATAACGACTAAAACAAGCTTTATTCGTAAGTTGAAGTTCTGAGGTCATGGGCTTCGCCCTTGCCGCTAGCGGCTTATTTTTGTCAGCAATGAGGTCATTCGTGATAAAAATAAAACTAGCGTAGATTTTACAATACAGCTATTGTAGAGTTTAAGAGTTGTGCTTCAATGTAGAGACAGTCCTTATGGTCTGGAGGTAAGAACACTGGGCAGTTATGGTCATGAGTGGAGAACATGTCTATCCAAAACTCACGATTGAAGCCAGTTAATTTATAGTATTTAGGGTTAGGAAGTGGTGAAGTTCTTGTATGACCAATGAACTCATTTTCAACTCCCTTACTTAAGTTTGAATATAATATAGCTTGCTTTCTATCCCAAATGCTAGGTGTTACAATCTTTGAAAATTCATTTTTCCTCGGAAGCATTGCATCATAATTGAAAACATTCTTGAAATCATCATTTGGTTCAGAGATTTGAAATCTTATACGTAATGGATTTTCTTTCTTTTTAGCTACTTCATTGAATGGTGAGAATACAAAACTGACAGTCATGAGTTCCATCTTCATTTTCATTAAATTCATAATGAAAGTCTATAAGTTGTGGCTGACTACCTTCTTCTTTCAGTTGTGCAAGAAACTCACGTAAAGGCTGTAAAGTTTGTACTTCAATGTTGAACTTTTTCTCGAACATCTCATTAAATGAAATCATACATTGCAACAATGTTGTATCGTCTTTAAAGTATTTGTATATGTGAATGTTTTGGGCGCTTAAAGACTGTTCGTCATTTTCTATCTCGACTTGAAGTATAAAGTCAACCTTTCTGAAAGCACGTGTTATATACATAGATGTTATGCCAATGTACTTCTCTTCATTTATGTTCACAATCCAGTCTGTTGGAAACTTAAACGTTACTCTGTTCCCCTTTATTTTGACGTCAGGGTTTTCACTACTGAACGCAACAGATAAAGGTATTTGTCTATACATTTAATTCGGATAAAAATAAACCATTTACTCTTTCTTTGCTTCAGCTTCTTTAGCTTTTGCTTTCTTCTCTAGCTTTTTCGCCAGCAAACGTGGGTTCTTTTGTCTTCCAGCAGCTAATGCAGCAAGTTGTTTTTCACTAAGTTTTCTCTTTGGTCTCTCTGGCTTTTGTTCTTGTTTTTGTTCCTTCAGTTCGGATAAAATTTGCTCACGAATTTCTTTCTTCAATGCTTCAACATCTATGACCCCTTGGGTCTTGTCCGTAGGGCTTGTCTGAGTCATTTGACTGCAGATAAAAAACAAAATTAAAACTTTAACCGATGTAAAATGAGCTTGTCAAAATCAGAGCGAGAGTCTATTATATTAAATGACGCAAGAGGAATACAACATCCTTTCTATTACGTAAGTCAGAGTAAAGATGGTAAAATATACGTAAGAAAAAGAAAGGTTCCATTAGCGAATGCAGAAGCGACAACATTAAGGTGCATGGCAAGGGTGAAGTCCACGAAGCCCATATAAAACCTTCTGTTCAAACTGAAAAGTCAATAGAACCAGAAGAAAAGAAGCCAGATGTACTTTCAATAACGAACCAAGAGCTTATTGCAAAGTTCGTGAATTTCATTGAAAAACAAACCGAGTCAAAGAATCCTGACCCCAGTGAAAGAAGTTGAGACAAAAGAGAATGTACAGTTCATTGAAAATGTCAAGAAACAACTTCCACCACGAATGCCAAGAAGAAGAGTGAGAATAATGAAGTAAATAGATATTTTTATCTGAAGTAAATACATGCAGAACGAACAGTTAAACGAATTTACTCCAGCAGAGCATATTCATCAGATTCGCTCATATTTCGATATCATAGACAATGCAGTTCAAATTGGTGACACTAATAGAAAATATTCTGACGCAAAGATTCCATCACAACCTGGAACTGCTAAAGATAACACATGGGTAACATTCAATCTCTCACCTCCTGGTGAAAATATGTTGGACCTTTACAATACATTCATTACGTATAAAATGGAAGGTCAATTTATTGTAGATAAAGAAATTGGTTCAGGTTCCAATAAAACAAACCCACCAGGATTTTGGATTGGTTTCGATGACGCTTTCTATGCAGTTGCTGGATATCAAATCCTTGCAAATGGTCGTATCGTATATTCTCAAGACAACGCAAGAGAAGAAGCATATATAACTTCAAACTCACAAACTACCGAACAAATAAAGAAAGTAGATGTTTTCTCAAAGACTCGACATGAAGATGTATGGAGTCATTCGGGAACATGCAGAACAGGACAAATTGTTAGTGGTCCAATTACAGCAGGAAAATCATTTGATTTTAAGCTTCGTTTAAGAATTCCTGTTAGAAGATTCCTTCCATTAGAAGCTATCGATTTATTCCAGCATTTTGGAAACATTCAGCTTAAAGTAAAGTTCAGTAGCGACGCCTTACAATGCACATCTATATCTGTAAATGATATCATTGCTTTCAATCCAACTCTTAAAGTTGCATTTGCTTCAGATTCAAATCCACCGACAAATAAATTTGTTCCATGGAATGAACCATTCACTATGATAACGAAGGCAGTAGAAGCTAGTGGAACAGTTACTATTACAACTGTAACCCAGCAACTATTTCGAACAAAGATGGATTTTAATGAATGTTTCATTCATCCAAAGTCATTCTCTTTAGACCCTAACATTTATACAGAACTTGTAGAACATTATACAAACGAGGCTTTATGTTTTCCTGTTAAAGTTATGGATTGGATTCCTATGGACGGTTCATTCTCAAAGAATACAGATAGTTCAAGTGCAACATTTACAGCAGCTTATACGCCTATTAATGTTAAAAGTATTTGGGCACTATTTAGAAAGAAAGACAACTATTATGTTAATTTTGAGAACCCTAAGTTTAAATATCTTCAGCTTTCCATGGGAGCTTATGGAAATATGCCTGCAGAACCTGAAAAATCATATGGACCTGTATTTTATGAAATGGTTGCGAACGCTTGCAATACAAACAATGATATGATAGGATTTAATGAAGATGTTATGAGGTCATTGGTGGATGATGGTAGTGTGGAACATAAATGGGATAGCTATGACAACACACATTTCTTATGTGGTTTTCCAACAGAAGTGGACTTTTGCTTCCAGCAAGGTCAAACATCTACTGCTCCAATAACATACAAATTGTCTGTTAAAGGACCTATTGAACTAGCAACTGAAAATGTACCAAAGCCACTTATTGGATTTATGAGGGATTGTTGCTTTGCCATTCAGGTGCGTGCTAATGGAATCCCA